GCTAGGGGTAGGGCTAGGGGTAGGGCTAGGGGTAGGGCTAGGGGTAGGGCTAGGGGTAGGGCTAGGGGTAGGGCTAGGGGTAGGGCTAGGGGTAGGGCTAGGGGTAGGGCTAGGGGTAGGGCTAGGGGTAGGGCTAGGGGTAGGGCTAGGGGTAGGGCTAGGGGTAGGGCTAGGGGTAGGGCTAGGGGTAGGGCTAGGGGTAGGGCTAGGGGTAGGGCTAGGGGTAGGGCTAGGGGTAGGGCTAGGGGTAGGGCTAGGGGTAGGGCTAGGGGTAGGGCTAGGGGTAGGGCTAGGGGTAGGGCTAGGGGTAGGGCTAGGGGTAGGGCTAGGGGTAGGGCTAGGGGTAGGGCTAGGGGTAGGGCTAGGGGTAGGGCTAGGGGTAGGGCTAGGGGTAGGGCTAGGGGTAGGGCTAGGGGTAGGGCTAGGGGTAGGGCTAGGGGTAGGGCTAGGGGTAGGGCTAGGGGTAGGGCTAGGGGTAGGGCTAGGGTTAGGGCTTGGTTTAGGGTTAGTTCTAGGATTAGGGTTAGGGTTAGGATTAGGTTTAGGGTTAGTTTTAGGATTAGGGTTAGATTTTTGTTTAGGATCCACTTTAGCATTATGGTTAGAGTTAGAATTATGGTTTGTTTTCCTGTGTTGTAGGTTGGGCGTGCCATTCCATTCTTTTGATTGATGCAAGGTACGTCATTGGGGATTTGATCGAGTGGGAACCCTGAGCTGGTATTTGTTAACCACATGCCCCAGGTGGTTCCATTTCTCTGAGCCTGTGAGTCTGTATGTTATTCTGATATTTACCTCAAAATGCTTTTAGGTTTTAATGACCGGAAATCGGTGTCTGGTAGGTGGTGTGAATACGTTCACTCTACACCGGCAGCAGCCTGTGGCCCCCGTGGGCCCTGGGCTGGCAGGGACCGCCCTCCCCTGCACCGGGGTGTGTCCATCTGCAGTTCTCGCCGTGGAGTCTGGTTCCCAGGCTCTTTGCCGGTCTCCCGTTAGTAAGGGATTAAAACAGGCAGATCCCACAGCGACTGTGCCTACAGCGACTGCCTGCCCCTCACTCTTTCCACGCTTGTGCAAAACTGTTTTCTGTTGTCACTCTCCGTGCCTTTGAGCTGCTTTTCACTTTAAATACAGGAAACCCTCGATTTTGCGGACCTTGGTTTAACAGACTGGATTTAATGGACTCTGGATTTAAAAGACCTAACTTCCGGTCCTTATGTCATAGATGAAAATTAACACCCTGGTAATTTTAAAATGCTTTTAACCAAGATTTGCTTATAATTAAATTTACAGGGTTTTTTTTTTTGTTTTGTTACTAATTCACTGTTGTTTTTAACAAATTTTAGCCAATAGGCCATATGTTGGTAAAAGTACTGTAGTAATTTCGCTGACATTAAGTATTATGTATCTACAACTACTCAAATCCCCGAGTCACTGCTCTCAAACATGTTCTGCGAATGGGTAGCTGGTGATGGTGCCGCAGCCCGTGCTGTTCCCACGTGCGCCAAGCGCGTCCTAGCCGCGCCCATCTGCTCAGGCCCGGTGACTGGGGGACGCCCACATCCCGCAGACCCGTCCGGTAGAAACGTAAAACCAGTGTGACATACAGAAAGCTCTCCCGTGACATTTAACTTCCTAAACATGCCTAATTTTAATCACACAAACGTGTCTACATGAAAACAGGTAAACTAACTCGTCAATTTTTTAGCGTACGCATGCGGAAAACCTGCCTGAGGATGTAATGGCCTTTTGGCTTTAGCGGACGCCCCCTCGCCCGAGGCCGCCGTGTGGAGGTTGCTGGGTTCCCCCTTCGCCGGCCCCTCCCGGAGGCCGAGAGAACCAGCTCCAGAGCTTCAGGCCGATGCCCGTGACAGCTGCGCTGGGCCCCACGCGGGAGGGCGCGGGCCCGGCAGGACCATGGCCTGAGGCCAGCGAGACCCACCCCGTGTTTGCTCCTGGTGGCGGCATGGCCTTAAGGCTGTCCCAGGCCTGGCTGAGGGGCAGCTGGCGGGAACTGGGGGTTTTCCGCCCACTCTGTGGGAGGGCTCCCCCTAACTCACCATGTTATCCCCGTGCATCCCAGGTCATAAACCACATACATCCAAACCCTGTCAGTGGGGTAATTCGCCCTAAAGTTCAAGCGTAAGACAATTCCAGGCAGTTTTCTGACGGGAAATGACAGCCGTAGTCGAAGGAACAGATGGGAAAGAGGGTTTGACTCTCTAGGTTCTACACGAAGCTAAGCCTCGTCTGTAAAACCGTTAGCGGGAGGAAGTCACTCCCACCCGAGAAGGGACGTGCTGGGCTGTGGGCCATGGGCTGTGGACCGTGAGCCGTGGGCCGTGAGCCGTGGCGCACAGGCAGCTTCTCGGGAGATGTTCCAAGGTGTCCCTGGCCACCAAGAGCCGAGCGCCGGGAGCGGCGCCGGGACAGGCTGCTACCCACTCGGTGAGCCACGTTCTCCTCCCCTCCTGCCCCCCCTTCTGGTGACTAATGGGCCACAGCTGGGGCTTGAAGGTGGGTGACAGCAGCCTGCGGGCCGGTTGTCGATGTTGAAAGCGTGGAGGGATGTTCTGTATGAGAAGCTGACGCCGCTCTCGCCCTGGGCTGCGGGGGCTGCGCGGCGGGAGCTCTGCGGTCACTCTGGACTCAGGGTCCGTAATAGAAATGGGGGCGAGACAAGAGGGAGCCCAGGGAGCCACAGCCGGACACGGGGCTGAAACGCAGGCGCCCCGCCCAGGCCCGATGTCACGTGTGTGACCTTCAGGCCGTGTGTGAGGGAGACCTGGTCCGGATGGGGGTTCCCTCTGGACACGGCATTCTGGGTGGAACCACAGTGTGAGGACGAGCAGCGCGGACAGCCCAGTCCCTCCAGGTGGGGTGGCTGAGGCTCCCCACCGGGCAGCTTGGAGGCAGGGCACAGACTGGCCACAAGGTGGCACTGCACCTCCGTTCTCAATGGGGTCCGTCAATGGGGTAAGAAAACACTCCCTCGGGGTGGGCCGCGGGGTCCTTTGGGGAACCCTGGCGTGGCCTGCGTCTCCGAGTCCTGCTACCGGCCCTGAAGGCCACGCAGCCCACGCCCTGCCGAGTCCCATCCGTGGGCTGAACGGGCATCGAACAAGCACAGACCCTCCACGGAGACCCAGCCCCGCCCCGACATCCAGCGCAGTGACAGAGTGAACAGGTTTACTGCCTACGTTGGAGGTTACAGGCGATACGTGAGAGTACACTTAGGATACATGTAGTTACGTCAACATAAAACAGCTGGTTACGATGAGCACATGCAGCTCCTGCAGAGGAAAAACACGGACAACACGCCAGACAGACCGGCCTGGCTACGAGCCAGTGGGGGCAGCGGGTGTCCTGGGCGGGCAGGGCTGGTGCAGGGGACACAGCACACTGGCCCAGGCACCACGCCCACTATTCACACACGTGTGTTGAGACCGAAGGACTTAGACACTGACCTTAACACGCCCCCTTATCTGTGACACCCAGGGTGTTGGTGATCAGCCCTGGACGCGTGGAGTCCTCACTCACCACGGCTGTGCTTAAGGGACAGAGACGGGCACCCTGTGGCCACTGGCCTTAAGTGCTTTTCACGCAGCACGAGGCCACCCGCCAACGCACATACCAGTAGCACATGAAAAATCATGAATCCAAAAGATGCCACATCTGGCCCAGACCCTGCTGACGTCCGCCTGCACTCTGCCCACGGTCCAGGGAGAGGCCGCTGGGACCAGCGGGAGGGCCAGGCCCGGGTCCGCTGACTCACAGCGTCGCGGGACCTGGGACCATCCTGCTTTGCCGTTTAGTGGCTCCATCTTCTCTTGATTCACAGAAAAGTGCAAAAAGCTTTTCGAAGTGACCTCGCCTGGGCAGCAGGACGACCATGACCCACAGAAAGCGCCTGGCGGTCGTCACAGGGCCTTCCGCTCGGGGAGCTCACTGCCTGGCATGGCAGCCGTCGCCTCCTTCACTGGACGGAAGTGCACGGTCTGGGAGTTGGTTCTTAGTCCCGGAGAGAGAAGACGACGGAGGACCACAGACCTTCCTTCTGCATCTCTTCATCGCGCCCCCAGATCGTCCTCACTATCCAGGCAAGACCCTCCCAGCAAAGCTACAACTCCCCCGAGAGGGGGCTGGCACTTATTAGCAACATTTTAAACTGAGGCCCGTTGGCGTTTACCCCCAAACATGCCTTAGACGTTTAGTGCTCCGCCTTAGAGGTGACCTTCAGACGGCCTCCCGTCGAGGCGGCTGCTCAAACCGTCAGGACTGAGTCTCCTCCTCTCCGGTGGCGTGTGAAGCAGCAAAGAGCACGTGCCCCCCCCCCACGTGCACCCTCCCCTGCCAGCCCCCAGGGGGCTCCGCTCTGCGGTGACGGGACCACAGCCTCTGCCCGTCCCGTCCTCGGGGCAGAGGGCACCGCCTGAGCC